GATTCCCTTTTGGCCGATGAAGAGCTAGATATCGGAATCCCTATGGGCGAGGGGAGATGATTATCGCCTCTCCTCACACCCCTACCCGGCACGAACAGACCTATGTTCGGTCTAGAGTGGCGTGCAAACACACCCGCCCCTCTAAGAAGGAGCAGGTTCGTCCGCACGCCCCTCGGAAGCGTGTTTTTTCAATAAAACACGCTTCCGAGGGGCGTGCAGAAGAACCCGCCCCTCCAAGAGGGGCGGGTGGGTTTGCACGCCAGCCAAGAACCGACATAGGTTGGTTTTGGCCTGGTGGGTATATTAAGCGAGGGGCAGGTGCTTTGACCCGCCCCTCGACAAGCTCGGAACCTTACTGATGATATCGGTAAGGTTCCTGTCTCTGAACCTTACCGATATCGAATCGGTAAGGTTCTTGGCTAGGCTTACGTGATCAAAACATCCCTGGATGTTTTGATCACGTAAGCGCCCTGTCTCTCTCCTCCTTGGGAGGAGAGAGAACTTTATTGATATGAAGTATAGACAATGTGATCAAATCGGAATGCGGGATGGCTCCACCAGGTTTTCCAGGCAGCTTCAAAGGCTCGAAGTTACAAATGTGCTTCTTTGCATGGCGAAAGCGGGAAAGGACGGTTCGGAGATCAATAGCTCTGATTTGATGTAGTAATGTCTCGTGAGTGGAATCATTTGAATAGATCGCGCCCTCGTCATTTAAAAATGAGTCTTCTAATCGCAGTGAGTAGATGATTCCCACCATGGAGCACATAAGAGATTTCACCTTAGTAAGCAGTGCCAAATCACCTCCTCTCAGAATCAGAGTTCCCCCAAGAGAGGGTTCACAACCCTCCAAGCGTATAAAAGTCTTCTTGTGATGATTGGGTATCATGCGGTGATGGACAGTTTGAACGCAAAACAGATCGCATTGACCAACTTGCAAATTTAAGAGTTTGTCGAGAGATGATATCAATGGAGTCTTGTTTGAACGAGCGGCTGCCTGCAGGACCGTTGATTTGACGTGCCTGAGGACAGTCACCCCTGCTTCAACGAAATAATCGATCGCTACTCCCGAGACGTTACCATCCACTAGTACTAAGTCTGGTTCCAGCGATATGAGTCGATGAACAAGTCCTTTAAGATATTGTCGCTCTTGAGAAACCAATACATCCAACTTGCAGTAGCCATCAACCCTTTGAAACTCTATAGGCATGCCAATCGTTAAGACTTTGGGAACAGAACACTCTGACTTCATTTTTCGGTGCGCAATATTCTTCGTGAATACGACCCCGTGGATGTACCTGATTTTTTTTTCATTGAGTAATGCTTACTCGCAATCAGCTACCTGGCCTCCGGGAATTCTTTTGATCTTAACCAGTCTTCTGATATCCCCAGCATCTTTGGCGTCATATTTGGGCCTGGGATGTTCAGAGACTAACTGAAGCAACAAATTTGTGAGCTCCGTTTCCCAGACAGGCGTTTTGGGAATATTCTCTCGGGTGAGGAACTGATGAATCATAAATCGAACATGTTCACATGAAAAAGCTGGAAAATACGAGAAAGACTCCTCCAACCTAAGACTTTGCTCGGTTTCAGACACAAAGCTTGCCTAATGAAAAGTGTCAGCCTGGGTGATGCCAAGAGCTTGCCTCTTCTAGCTACACCAGGTGCAAAGCTAAGAAAAATATGTACAAGTGTGGGTAACACTTGGAATGGGGAGTTTATGGTATGAAGAAAAAGAATTAATAAAAACTATTAAGTTTTTATAAAGGGAGGGGCCTGAGTTACAGGGGTTTTTATGGTGCCCTCCAATGAATCAGGACCTGTTAAACAGGGGTATTTTTGATGTACCTGATGATCTGGTCCTTTGTGGAAAGGAGTATGCCCAGACAAAATGCCTACAACTGAAGTATCAAGGAAATATTACCTACTTAGCACTATTTCCAAGCCAAGGGGACTTCAGGTGGGTGAAAACTGGTCTGGGAGCGCTCAGAAAACTGGGTAACAGGTGGTGAGAGAGTGCTGGGGAACAGTTGATGGTTGGGTTGGTGATATCCAAGACAGAAACAGCAGGAACTGGGCCAAAAACAGGTGAAAAACTGGTTGTTGGAGGTGGTTATTGCTGGTAATGGTAATGAAGATGGGGAATTTGAGTTCGTGGTCAAGAAGGGCTCCTTATATACTCATTCTGGGCTCTTGGAGGCGAACTCAGAACTCTGTTTGGCTGGGGTAAGCCTCCTACTAGGCATTGGTGACCTGTAGCACTGCCTAGACACCTGTAGTCCTTGGTTACAGGTGGCAGAGGGCTGAAGTGAGGCTTGTAACACACACTAAGGAGTGCTGTGACGAACCTGCAGCCATGGTTTGGGCACTGGGACCCTTTAATGACCAGTGGGCTGGTCTTAACCAGGCGTAGTTAGCCAAACTGGGCCAAAAAGGGCCACAAATGGCTTTTGACCAGCCAGTTACAGTTGTTGTGACAATGTAGTTAAGGTTTCAATGATGTCAACCTTATTTTCAGATTTTTCCCGAACTGCATGAACCTTAATTACATATGTAGACCTGTCACAACATGTAGTATGATGTAACTGGGAGGGTTTTTAGCAAAATGAGCAAGTGTCACTCAGAGTACACAGAAGTACCTGAAGGAGTAATAATTCAGGGGTACTTCTGGTGAGGTACCCTAGGTTATTTTGCATGAGAATTAAGAATCTGAAATAATATTCTAACTTTTGCTTAAGGTTTAGAAGTTATTTGTAGATTCATGTTAAAAATGTTTATTTATAAATGTTTTTGGTTTATTTTTATGTTTTCTTTCATGACTAGTAAAACTTAATGTAATGAGTAATAATGTCTCTATTATAGTGATTCCACTTATTTAAATATTAATGTTTTTATATATTCATATGTAATAATGTCTCTATATTATGTACATATAAAATAGACCTTAATTACATATGCTATGGGGGTAGTATATGTAATAATGTCTCTAAATGTTTATGCTATGGTCAGGTTGTCTCTGAATAGTAGCAGGCTGACATTCCCTACCCCTAAGATGAGTTTCCTACTCATAGAAAATACAAGTATTAAAATAGTTTTTGACAAAGTGTGAAAAAAAATTGGGTTTTTCAGGCATTTAGCTCCTCTTAGAGGCTCTGTAATTCCTCAAGTGGATTGCTCCATCAGGTATATTAGACTCAGGTAACCACTCATCCTTATCCGCAGATTGGTTTTTATACCTGACTAAGTAAAGCCTCGTGTCTTTTCCTTGAATTCTTTCTTTCTTGTCCTTCAATATTTTAGCTACATGAAGTTTCTCATCCTTACTAGGTTCCATTATTGGGACTGGAGTACATGGCCTTGGCTCAGTGTTGTCTCTTGTGGTGTAAGGTTTTACCAGGCTTACTGGAAATACAGGGTGTTTCCTGGAGAGTTCTTCACTCAGGATGACCTCTACTGCATTTTTTCCATGCATGTCTTTAATGGTAAATGGGCCAATAAAGGATGGTTTAAGTTTCTTGTTACCCCCCAGATTATTAAAATTCACTGTAGATAGTAAAACTTTATCCCCAATTTTAAAATCTGGTTGTTTATGGCTCTTATCCCATCTGTTTTTGTTATATTCTACTGCCTCTTCAACACATTTTTTAGCGTGATTTTGAGTAACATCAAGCATCTTTTTGAAGTCTAGAGCAGTAGGGTGTATATGTGGTAACTTATCATTAAGGGTATCCTTTGGAATTCTTGGGATCCATCCTCTCTCAAGGACATATGGTACTTCATTTGAGGTTGAATGCTTGCTGCTATTGTATGCAATCTCAAGAGCAGGTAATAAACTAACCCAATCATGAGTATAGCCATCATGATTCTTAAATTCTAAACCAAATGAACAGAACCTCCTGAGCATATCCTCCAAGGTTTGGATCATTCTTTCAGCCAGCCCATCAGTTTGAGGATGGTAGGCCGTGGAAAAGGCTAATTTAGTTCCTAGCATGTCATGTAGATTTCTCCAAAATTCTGAAGTAAATTTGGGATCCCTATCACTGATGATAATCTTGGGAATTCCCACGTCAGCCATAATTCTGTTCCAAAACAGCATGGCTACTTCCATTGCGGTGTCATCTTTATGATTTGGGATAAACCTGGCTCTTTTGGAATACCTGTCTACTACCACTAGGACAGAATTATAAGAGTAAGCTCCTCCAGGAGGTAATCCCGTGACAAAGTCCATATTAATGATTTCCCACTTAGTACTGGGTTCAGTAATTTTCTGGAGTAGCCCATATCTTTTCCCTGTTTGTTTATTTGATTTTTGACAAATTTCGCAAGACTTGACATAATTGGTAACTTGGGATCTCCAGTCTAACCACCAGGCCGTATGTTTTATTCTTTCCACTGTTCTGTCCTCAGAAAAGTGGCCAGAATTAACATTATCATGGCATTCATAAAGAATGTTGTCAATTTGTGCCTGGTCACAGAGTACTAAAACACTAGAGTGTCTATTTCTGTAGTAAAGTAGTCCATCCAATAGGGTGAATTTTCCTTCAGAGTAAGGTTTTGCCAAATTAGGGGGCAGGCTGGCAATTAACTCAGGGGAACTATTTTCATTGCTTAAGATGTCAACTAATTTTAACAGTTCAATATTATCCTTATAGCTGTCTTGGACTAAGTTGTAAAAGGCTATATCCAAATCACACACGTGAATACCTAAAATTGGAAAAATGTCCTCATCTTCAGGATCCCAGGCTGGGTTATCAGGTGTGTTGGGCAAGGCCCATCTACTAAGCCCATCTGCATTTCTATGTTTAATGCCAGCTTTGTGAACAATGGTCATATGTCCTCTGTATTGTTGAATAGCAATTTGCCACCTGAGCATATGTCTGTTAGGTGTTTTCATATTCATGAGGGTTTTAACTGCTGTGCAATCAGTGACTACTACAACTTTTGTGCCTTCCAGGTAGTAATGTAATTTTTCAAGTGACCAGACTAATGCCAAACACTCCATCTGACTTGCTCCATATTTCCTCTCACTAGATTTGATTTGTCTAGAGATAAACAGTACTGGTTTTTCAGTTGGAACATCATCAATCTCAAATTCTTGGTGCAAAGCTGCGCCTAAACCATCCAAACAAGCATCTATGTACAGAATAAATGGTTTGGTGTAATCAGGCTGGGCTAGAACAGGAGCAGTGGTCATGAGGTGCTTAAGTTGCTCATAATCTTGCACACGTGAGTATGTCATTTCATATATTACATCTCTGCTACAAATTTCATAAAGACTATGAGTAATATTGGCAAATTTGGGGATGTGTTGCCTGTAATAACTACAAAATCCTAAGAAAGATTGCATTTCTGTAATATTCTGGGGCATGGGTTTCAGCAAGACAGCTGCTACTCTGTGCTGATCTATGGCCAAGGTTAAACCTGAAACTATGCGTCCCAATGCCTTAAGCTCTCCATAACCAAAATTACACTTTTTAATGGACATTTTGAGGCCAGATTCTACTGCCATTTCAAGCACAGAAGTAATTTTTTCCAGATGTGTGGCCCAATTATCAGAATAAATGATAATGTCATCTATGTAAACCATCATCCAATTTTGACGGATAAAGCTCCCAAATATAGAGTCCATCATCCTTTGAAAATGGGATGGTGCATTTTTAATTCCAAAAGGCATTCTGAGGTACTCATAAACACCTAAATGGCATATAATGCGCATAAATTGTCTGCTATTTGGTTCAATAGGTATTTGATGGAATCCCTTAAGCACGTCCATAGTGGTAATATATTTTGCTTTAGACAAATTGTGTAGAGAGTGGTCAATCCTAGGAATGGGATAATTATCAGCTTTGGTGTAATTATTCAAAGCTCTAAAATCCCCAACCATCCTGGACTTCTCATTATGCCATGCAATAATGACAGGAGTGGTAATTTCTACCTGCTCATTATGGCCTACCTTTCTTATAACTTTGAGATCCAACAGCTCTTTTATGTGAGTTTCTAAAGCTACTCTGGACTTTGGGCTAGAAGGATAAGCAGCTCTTCTGAGGGCTGGAGGATACGGAGGTTGACAGGTTAATTCTAACTTGATATCATGGCCTTTGACATTTCCAATGGGCTCTTCTGTTGTGCAGAAAGCTTCTTTATATTTGTAGCATACTTTCAAGATATCTTGTTTCTGCTCTTGGTTTAGTATATCACTCACAGCTGCTTGTGACAAATATTCTTTATCAAAATCAATGAGTTCTTGTGTCAGGCAAGATACTTCCTTGATTGGTTCAGGTATTTTAATGTTCACATTGCAAATCTGGAATTTTCTTTTCCAGTCTCCACCAATGGTATAGTATCTATTTTTACTCTGAAAAATATCTATTCCATACAAGCAGAAAGTATCATTTCCCAAAATAAAATATTCACATAAAGCATCTTGTAAAACAACAAATTCAACATTGAGTCTTAAAGATCCTTTGGAGTGAGGGAATATTAAGGGCATACTAATTACACCAAGGGGTTTCATGGAAGAATTACAACTGCTGAACTTGGCTTTAGGTATGGGCAACAAGTAGTTTTTCCATTCAGGGTAACAGGTATCAAGGAAATCACTACTAGTACATGAGCAGAAAGCTCCAATGTCAAGCAATGCTTTCCATTCTTTACCTTGGTACATAACAGTAGTGTAACTGGTTTTTCCCATAGTGTAGCTCATACCTGTCTCAGGTTTGTTGGACAAAAGTTTGGCGTCAGAAATGTGGCCAACTTCCATTGTAGAATCCCATTTCTGAGGCAAATTTGACTCACCGTGGATGGCATTAATTTCAAACTCATCTCCAATATCTGCTGATATAACATGGAACCTGTACTCTGATTCCTCAGATTGGTGATGATTTTGGTGGAAATCTGAGTCTTCAGGTTCCACTTGCACCATCTCAAACCTGGAAGAGGTTTCTTCCTCACTGTCAGGCTCCATGTTGACATTATTTATCCTTTTTCTGGGATTGGGGCAATCAGGTCTCTTGTGTCCTTTTTCCCCGCAATTGTAGCATTCAGGTATGGCAGCTTTTTTAGGGGCCATTTCAGCAGGTTTGCCTTCTTTTTCCTTAGGAGCAGGAGTTTTTGAAGTTCCTTCCCTTTTGTCTGAATAATTTTCCCTGTGTCTTCTGTTGGCACCAGTCATTTCAATGACTTCCTCCATGACATTGATAAATGTGGATAAATCAGTGTCCATATTTGGGAGTCTACATCTCATTTGGTGCTCAAGATTTCCCTTACATTGATCAAGCAATTTATCATTGATGTCTAATTGCGTGGGATTTTTGTACATACAATCAATCCTCTTTTTCTGCGTGAGACACCATTTGTGAGGTTTGTCTTTTGTGGGATCAAAGTAATCACTCTCAAAGGCTCTTCTGATTTTTTGTTCCCATAATCTAGTACCAAAATGAGCTTTGATTAATTTTTTCCAAGTGTCCCAAGATTGTTTTCCAACAGATTCTTGTTTTTCTATGAACCACTCAAGAGCTACATCTGTAAATAACCTTGGAAGTCTACTAAGGACAAATTCATCATCAGCACTGTAAGACAACAACATGTGGTCAATATATTTAATAAAACTTATATGGTCATAGTCATCTGAGCCTGCAAATTTAGGCCAATCTGTGACAGGAGGGACCAGTTTATTTAAAGTGGCCAAATCCATGTTATAATACCTAGATGGAACTCTATTGGTATTGTGTTGGGATTGTGGTAGAGCAGAAGGGACAGTGTGATTGCTTAAATGGGGCGGAGAATTCCTATTTTGCTGTGGCACAGCACTGGTTTGGGATCTATTAAGATGAGGAGCAACATCTCTATCATTTTGTGATGGAATTTCTTCCATATAGGGGTTGTTAAAGCGTGGTTGACCATGATGGGTTTTGTCATTATTTTGATAGACAGGAGTTTCAATTTTATCTAGAGAAACATGCTGCGCTAATAATTTACGGACACTGGTTTTTATTTCAGCGCTCAACTCTGTTTTGAGGATAGAGATCTGTTCTTTAATCAAATTTTCTAATCCTTCAGTTCTAATGTTCTGTTGGATAAGCAAATCTTTAATTAGGTCTGTTTCTTCCTTCTTTTTTGCGTTCTCTATAACATTATCTTCTCTGATGCTAGAAAGGATATAATCCGCGGTGGTACTTAAGTCACTATTTAGTTTATTGACGGAAGTAGTAAGCCTGGAGCATGATTGCTCGCTCTTAGCAGTATTCTCGGCTATTTTCTTAGTCATCTCAGGATTAATGGACAGAGGGTTTCGCAATATGTTGTCAAATTGTACGGACAACGAGGTAGCATTCTTTTTGTTATTTCGGGAAACAAGATCAAGACTATGTACAATTGTTTTAAAATTTTCTTCGGCATTACTATCAATAGCCGATAAATTCTTACTAACAAGTTCTAAGCTATCTAAAATAGCTGTGAGGATTTTAACGTCTAATCCATGTGGCGGTAAGCCGCCTCGAGGGTGTTGCAACCCCGCATGACTCTCTTCCAACGACTCGGGTCGTTGAATAACATGTTCTTGGAGGAGCTCGTTTGGGAGGAGGAGCTTCTTTTCTTTCCTCCTCCCTCTTTGCAAGTGGTCGGATACAATTCCTTCTTGACCGTCCAGGGGTTCCAGCCCCTGACGTACTCTTCGAGTTCGGCTCGAGGGATTAGTTTCTGGAGAGTCTTCTGACTCTCCTGCGCTAGACCGAGGAGTACTTTGAGCTCCTCCGTAGCGCCGGATGGTCGTAACGCTTCGTACCTCTTCCAAAGAAGGATGTGTTCTTTGGTGAGGAGTTGAATTTTTTCCTCCTTGGAGAGGACTCTTACTTCCGGAGACGCGCGGCGTATTTGGGTATCTGCCGAGGACGTCGATGCTTGGGGATCCAAGTCCATCGCATCCGAAGCCTTCTCTACTGGTGCGGTCGCCGGAGCCAAATTCTTTGGGGTCGTTGGCATGGTCGCGGTGCTCGGACTCGTAGCTCGAGCCGTGGTCGCCGTGGTTGAGCCTCTCTCGGCCAATATCTCCTCTGTCGCTCTCGCGACTGAGACTGGTGCTAACTTCTTTTGGATCGTAATCAACTTGAGGCGGTTGACCCGTTCCTCCAGCTGATTTGCTACGCCTTGGTCGCGAGGCTGGGGGAAGGGGGCCGTGCAATTCGGGGTTATTTGACCTAGTTGACATATTCGCCCGTTTGTTAGTACTTTTGGTTTTATTTTTCCTTTTATTATTTTTTCTTAAAAATTTATTCTTGCTAAAAAGAAAATAGTAAGAACGATGTAACTTACTCGCAATGGGGCTGTTAGCTGCGGTTTCAGCGACTGGGGTAGTCGCAGCGCTTGAGTTAGAAGTGATAGACACTATAGGTAGACGAACAAGCGTAAAGTTTTGTTTATTAACACTATTCTAAAGAAAAAAGGTAGCTCGCGTAATAAGAGATGAGAACGCACTTTTTGCGATTCTTTTTGCTTTAATCTCTGCTAATATTTCGCGGCGTCGGTCCTTGTGTTGGCGCTTGAGAGAGTTAAATGCGAACAGATTGTTAATTCTGTCTTCTTCGTTACGTTGGACGCGTAAAAGGGCACGAGAGCGTTGTTCCTGAGGAGTGAGTAATTCCCAGGGGGTAGGTTGATAAGATGCTGCGCGCTGTGCTTTTTCGGAGGCAAGGAAGTCAAGATAATATTGAATTAGTCTCGCAGTTTCTTGCAATTCCACTATAAGAAAAAAGGTAAAGAAAAAAGCTAGTAAGAAATTTGTTTTTTAGGATTTATTTTGAGCTTTTTTTATAAGATGTTTTAGGTGGTTTGATTTTTGTAAAAAAATTCAAGAGGAAGGAGTAAAAAAATATGATTTTTTGTATGTGTTTTGTTTTTATTTTTTAAAGAAAAAATAGTACCAGGTTTTTATCAAAAGATAAAAATTCTTCCCGGCCAGACCCCCAATTGTCAGCCTGGGTGATGCCAAGAGCTTGCCTCTTCTAGCTACACCAGGTGCAAAGCTAAGAAAAATATGTACAAGTGTGGGTAACACTTGGAATGGGGAGTTTATGGTATGAAGAAAAAGAATTAATAAAAACTATTAAGTTTTTATAAAGGGAGGGGCCTGAGTTACAGGGGTTTTTATGGTGCCCTCCAATGAATCAGGACCTGTTAAACAGGGGTATTTTTGATGTACCTGATGATCTGGTCCTTTGTGGAAAGGAGTATGCCCAGACAAAATGCCTACAACTGAAGTATCAAGGAAATATTACCTACTTAGCACTATTTCCAAGCCAAGGGGACTTCAGGTGGGTGAAAACTGGTCTGGGAGCGCTCAGAAAACTGGGTAACAGGTGGTGAGAGAGTGCTGGGGAACAGTTGATGGTTGGGTTGGTGATATCCAAGACAGAAACAGCAGGAACTGGGCCAAAAACAGGTGAAAAACTGGTTGTTGGAGGTGGTTATTGCTGGTAATGGTAATGAAGATGGGGAATTTGAGTTCGTGGTCAAGAAGGGCTCCTTATATACTCATTCTGGGCCCTTGGAGGCGAACTCAGAACTCTGTTTGGCTGGGGTAAGCCTCCTACTAGGCATTGGTGACCTGTAGCACTGCCTAGACACCTGTAGTCCTTGGTTACAGGTGGCAGAGGGCTGAAGTGAGGCTTGTAACACACACTAAGGAGTGCTGTGACGAACCTGCAGCCATGGTTTGGGCACTGGGACCCTTTAATGACCAGTGGGCTGGTCTTAACCAGGCGTAGTTAGCCAAACTGGGCCAAAAAGGGCCACAAATGGCTTTTGACCAGCCAGTTACAGTTGTTGTGACAATGTAGTTAAGGTTTCAATGATGTCAACCTTATTTTCAGATTTTTCCCGAACTGCATGAACCTTAATTACATATGTAGACCTGTCACAACATGTAGTATGATGTAACTGGGAGGGTTTTTAGCAAAATGAGCAAGTGTCACTCAGAGTACACAGAAGTACCTGAAGGAGTAATAATTCAGGGGTACTTCTGGTGAGGTACCCTAGGTTATTTTGCATGAGAATTAAGAATCTGAAATAATATTCTAACTTTTGCTTAAGGTTTAGAAGTTATTTGTAGATTCATGTTAAAAATGTTTATTTATAAATGTTTTTGGTTTATTTTTATGTTTTCTTTCATGACTAGTAAAACTTAATGTAATGAGTAATAATGTCTCTATTATAGTGATTCCACTTATTTAAATATTAATGTTTTTATATATTCATATGTAATAATGTCTCTATATTATGTACATATAAAATAGACCTTAATTACATATGCTATGGGGGTAGTATATGTAATAATGTCTCTAAATGTTTATGCTATGGTCAGGTTGTCTCTGAATAGTAGCAGGCTGACAAAAAGTATCATAACTTCAACAATAAATTCCTGACACAGAAAACCCAGCTAACGTACCGAAGCGGCCTTAGAAACCCGCTCCTCGCTTAATATACCCGCCAGGCCAAAACCGACCTATGTCGGTTCTTGGCTGGCGTGCAAACCCACCCGCCCCTCCAAGAGGGGCGGGTTCTTCTGCACGCCCCTCGGAAGCGTGTTTTATTGAAAAAACACGCTTCCGAGGGGCGTGCGATCAAACCCGCCCTTCCTGGAGGGGCGGGTTCGATCGCATGCCCCTTTTGGAGGGGCGGGGGCGTGGGCGTGCGGGGAGGGGGGGGGAGTGCGATTATCATCGCCCCGGGAGTTTGAGACCTGTATGAGGATCAAGATTTGAAAGATTGTCGGTGCATCTTTGATTGAATGCAGACCGTACACTGTTGGACATCGACCTCATTCCACAACGTTGGAGTTATTCCCTTGCGATTTCAGGAGAGCCTTCAACGGTTGGAGACCTATATGAGAAAAGCGTTGGTGATATCCCAAGAGAGTATTGTCAACTTTTTTGTCCAAGGTGAGGGATGAGGAGGGATGACCAACTGGTTGAGAGGGAAGATAAAAGAGAATTCCACGTCTATAACCTCTGCCCACGAGTGAACCGGAGACTTTTGTGTCGACAGTCGAATAGATATCGCAGGAAGTAGGAGTGAATACCGCAGTGAGGCCGGTGTCACAGAGACCTGCAATTCGAAATAAGGGGTTCTGCAAGAGCAGGGACCACCAAGGTTGGAACTGAGGTGCTACCCTTGAGCGGGAGGCAAGAGATTCCCTTGTGACTGGCTTCAACGGTGGAATGATCGGCAAGTCGGACCGGGGTGTTGTTAGGCTTGGCAAAGGAAATGGCATTGAGATCGGGGGTCATGGAGATTGAACAACCTGAGTCCAAATTTGCATCGCCAGAGGGGATGGGTCGCTGAGGAGATGAAACCGACAGGGAGACAGCAGCATGGCCTGCCCTAATTTCAAGCTCAGAGCCGGAAAAGTCCGATTCGTCACCAGATTGTTGGTCTCCAAGGATAGCAGCAGAGATACGCCCGGCTTTAGCCGGGTAGTTGGAGGTGGAGGTAGAGGAAGAGACACGGTTACTGGCGGACTTCTTATTCTTTGGTTGGGCCTGAGTTGACTTGTGATTTTCAATGAGACGAGCCACGTTGAAACAGCGGTTAAGGTCGTGGCCATCGAGATTGCAAAAGGAGCAGTGTCGGACGGCTTGACCTTGTTTAGCCGCTTTTGGCTTTGAAGAGGCCTTTTCAGAGGGGGAATGATAAGTGCACGCCATCCCTGTCGAGCACGCCAAACTGCACGCCAAAGCAGATTGGTGTGCATGTGCGCACGCCAGTGTGCAGCAGGGTAGATTGGCCTGCAGTTGGCGTGCAGGCCTGCACGCCAATCTGGGTCCTAAACAATATAAATATGGGTTTAGGACTGGGGCTATCCCATAGGACCCAGGCATGGGTCCTATGGAATAGTCCATGGAGAAAGTGCAAAAGGGAAAAAAAAAGTTT